TTAATATAACCCACAAATGATTGAAATACTATGCCAGCCCATAATGGATTTTGCCAAGGTTGAGGAACCCTGGTTTAGGCTACCATCCAGCTCCCCTTTTCTAGCTCTAGCCACCATAGCCCTTAGTCAAGGATGGTGGTAGTTGACATCTGGAACATTTGGAGCAGGGCATCTCAAATTGCAATAGACAATTTACTGAGTTATTTTTTTCATGAGAAGCCAAGTTAAAGACATTTTTATTTCTGAGGATTCAGTAGATAATGTTGTCTGAATGTGTTTTGTTTTATCTCAGATCAGTAACTAGAAATTTGTGTGAGAAATTACACTAGTTCATTATTATTTATTTGTATTTATATTTCACATTTGTCATTGCCCATCTCCCTAGATGTGACTCTGGGCGATTTACAGTAAAAGAATAAATATTAATTAAAATACAATAAAACAATAGACCGACAAATAATACAAATTATCAAGATTTTAGATCAGGATCAGACAACCTGTTGTTTTTAGATGTTTAAATTAATGTTTTGGACCAAAAGTCCCATAATGCCAGATTGTTGGACATGCTAATTGGAATGTGTGAGTCACATTGTAAAAAAAAAAATGGCAGTACCATATCTTTGGTTTAGATAGGCATACTATCCCAATCTAAAATATTTCAAAAGTGCTTATAAAAGGGAGATAAAATGTTTAATTTGTTTCTTTGTAAGTGTTGATAAAAACAATTCTCTTTGAAGTTTTCAATTCTAGGATGAAAAGCCCATGGGTTTTGAAATATTATTAGATTTAGCATCCCTTCATCCCTAATGATGGGTCATATTGCCTGGAACTATAGAGAGTGGGAGCCTAACAACATTGTATTGGCCACTATTCAAACTGAATATTAATTAGCTTGTAGAGCAACTTGGAAAATTAGAACATCCAGTGCTTAGAGTTTCAAAAGTAGGTTTAGAACAGCCTCGAGGCAGGGTTAACTTTTTTAGAAATAGAATTAGACAAAATAATCTCTAGATGGCGATTCTCCAACTTTATGGATCTGTGATTACTCAGGTATTCTTAAAAGCAGATCTTGGACAGATTTACTGAAATATCACATAGAGCAAAATGCCTGTTAAAGTGAATTTCAGAGGTTCCTTTTTAGGCAAAAGATCTGAAAAATTTCAAGGGGAGTCCAAAAAAGTTTCAATAACAGGAGCCAGTTTATTGGAGGCAGCGTGTTTGTATTATCCATTCTTAGCCTTGAATATGAAGTATAAGAATGGATCATTAATTGAAAAATCAAATTGGCTATCCAGGCCAATAAGCATAAATGTACCCACTTTCTGTATCTTTGTCCTTTTCGCAGCTATTTTTGGGCAGTAAAATTATTAATTGGCTTCTTTATAGAAAAAGATCTATGTTCATCACAGAGATAGTAAGTTGGTTTTCATTCCATTCAAGCGTTTATACTCATGCTTTCAAATAAGTTAAAACTAGATATATAAAGTACAGTGGTACCTTGGGTCATGAACTTAATTTGTTCCGCGACTCTGGTCGCGACCCGAATCAAATTTTCCCATAAGGTTCAATGTAAATATGGTTAATTTGTTCTGACCCCTACGAATTTGGTCACCAACCAATTTTGGTTGCGACCTGAATCAAATTTTCCCATAAGGTTCAATGTAAATATGGTTAATTTGTTCTGACCCCTACGAATTTGGTCACCAACCAATTTTGGTTGCGACCTGAATCAAATTTTCCCATAAGGTTCAATGTAAATATGGTTAATTTGTTCTGACCCCTACGAATTTGGTCACCAACCAATTTTGGTTGCGACCTGAATCAAATTTTCCCATAAGGTTCAATGTAAATACGGTTAATCCATTCTGAACCATATGTATTTTTTTTTTTAAACCACAAAAATATGACACAAAGTACAGTATGGTACACTATGAAGAGAGAGAACGCTAACCTTGCTTGAGACGACTTCTGGCATGGAGGACAGGAAGGCGGGTGGGGAGGCAGTTATTGTTTGGAGGGAGAGTCCCCCCCCCTACAGGAAGCCACAACCACGTGTCACAGCAGGGAAAATGGCCA